TGTAAAATTTTATATATGAAATTTAAAAAAAAAAGCCGGCCGGCCAGGTCTATTTAAAAGTTTCATGTTATGAAAACTAAGTAATCAAATTTGTATAGCCTTATATATTATAATAAAAAAATTTATTAAATTTCAGATTATTATAGCATGGCACATGAATTACTCAGAAAAATTTGTTCGAATTACCATTTCAAGACTCGTTAAATGATTACTCGAAAAGTCTATATGCATTTAGATTATATATTGATTTTTAGTACACTTAGATTCGGTTGTAATAGTTAATCTTGTATAAAATTTTGAATTGTTAAAATTTAATAAACAGCACGCGATTACGAAAAAATTTGATAAACAGCAGAAGATCTGTATTACACTTAGGCCATGTTATAAATCTTATAATTTTGACCAGAGTGTGTTAATTCAAGTCAGAATTTATATAATCGACACTAGTAATTTCGGCCAAGAAATAATTTCAGTCGAATAATTTCGGCTGAAATTTATAGATATCTTCTGTAGAATATAGGTTATTTATTACTCTTTTGAGATTTAGTACTTGATTTAGGCTATAATACCAGATTAAAATTTTGGCTGAAATTATCTTTAAATCTGAATCAAGGTTTCCCTAAATTTTTCGACTGAATTTATTTTATATCCTGATACCAAAATTCAGCCGAAATTTCTCATATAAAATTAAGCAGTTTAGTGAGTAGAATATGTTATTAATCTGAGTAAAATATTTTCATTTTATATACTTTTCTCTAAAAAAAATTAAATTAGTTACATTCGTTTGCACAATTTATACTTTAAATAAAGCTAACCGGTCTAAAGCTATAAAGTTTAATAACCTCTTGAAAGAGCGGATCCAGATTTGGCTTTAATAAATCAATTCATATAACTGATAATTAAAAATACGGACTTTAAGTCATGTGATTTAGTAAGATTCTTAGCATTAATATAAAAAGTATCCTTTTTTAATTATTATTTGCATTACATAAAGTTTCTAAAGTAATTCTATTTAGGTGGCATTACCACCATTATTTCACTTATATCAATAAAAAAATTTTATTTAAAAATGAAACATATAATTAATCATGCAAAGTCATATGATCTGAAAGGCAGGTTAATTTTTCTATTTAATCATTGACCAGTCATGACCGTCATGAGTAATATTTAGCAAAGAATTTTGAAAATAGGTATAAATTTGATAAAAAAAAAGTACTAATTCTTCAATTGAACATGTACGGGCTTTTACTAGTGCCTGTTCCTATCATATTATGTCTCATTTTTGTATGTCTTGGATTAGTTGACTTTAAAATGTAATTTATCAGATTGTGGAAGAAAAATTGTCGCTCACACTTGCAAGTATAATCGAAAATTTCTTGACAGTATCTTCGATCATTCCAAGTGTCTGGGCGTTGAAATATTTTTTTTGATTAATGTAATTTTTTGGTTTAAACCCACCTCTTAGTTTCCATTTCCTAATATATTTCCCAGCTTTCAGATATCTAAAAATTAGGATGTCGATTTCTTCTTGTGTTAATTTGGTCTGATATTCCATTAAAGTCCTCTTTTTAACCTTGATATTCTTAACATTGAAATATGAATTTAAAGATGTTTTATCATAAATAGTAGCATTTTTGTGATTTTCACAAATGTTGAGAAAAGTTTGTAGATTAAATTTTCGAAAGATAGTTGTAAATTCTTGAATGTTATCCAATTGGTATCTAAATGTTAAATCATATATCAGATCAATTGTGATAATAACATTACCAAAAAGCTCCTCCATGTGGGATACATGCTCATGATTCTTAACCAAGATGAATAAGATGTTGATGTTGAAATATTTCATGTTTGTCCATAAATTCGTCAAGTAGTTGTATTTAGAATCCAAAAAAGTCTTACTCGTAATATACAAAGAATATTGGATGTTGTCCTTACCTCTTTGTTTATCAAAATTACTAATATTCTGGCAAAGAATTTTAACAAAATGTTGGAATGCGTAGACATCATTGACATTTTTTATCTCATCTGAGAATTCAAATTTCTGATCAACGTAAACTGGAACTATAAGATTTTGGTCCTCAGGGTTATTTTGAATTTTTAGTGATGGATTAGACTTTTTTTTATTCATATTTGTTGCTATATTGATATTTTTTGAGCGTGAAATTCAAGAATGACTCTTTAAATAATTAATTACTGAAATCTTATGAATTACAGTATTTATAGTTAAGAAATGATATAAATAACTAAACCCAATACTACCAATTAGCAAAAATTTTTACACATCATAGCATTCATTTGATAAATCCTTTTGTTTAACTCTTTTTGTTTCATAATTAATAATAAGTAAATTAAAGGAATAGTTGCGAAATAACTTTACGCGCAAAAAGCCAATGAGCTTTAAATTAGGTAAAGATATTAAACAAAGAAATATAGTTTTAGTAAGTACTAGTAAAAAGGAGGGCGATCAATGCGCTTAAGACTTGTTTCATTGAGAAAATAACTTTATAAATAGCTAAATTAATTTTTGAATAACTTTGTATAGAAATAAAAATTAAGTCTATGTAAAATAAATTAACAACTATGATATTTGATATATATAAATTAGTTTATTTAGCTGATTCTTGAAAGAAGGACAAATGCTCTTACATATACACAAAAAAATAACATTGGTCAAGTGTTACGTATAAACCAAAATTTTTATTAATTAACGTAATTTGTATAGAGTACTTAATTTTACTGGCAAAGTTCAATAACTACGCGCGTTTCTTTGTTTAA